CCAGCTGTGCTTCTCCATCTTAACCCTGTCTGTGGCACGCAGGCTGGAGGCAGACCCGGGGGGCTGGCTCTCCTGGGAACCGGGGCTGTCATTGATTTCCCCTTAGAAAGAAATGCGTCCTTGCAGTCACATCTCTGCATAGATTCAGCCTTATCCTTAGCACCCAGCCTGGAGGCTGTATGGCCTGTCCACGCTCTGCTCTTTCCACAGGCTAAACTGAGAGTTTCCACTCTTTTCTCCCCCTCTTCAATTTGAGCATGAATGGGGCGCTGGTCCTCTCTGGTCTGGGGGCTGGGTGCAGGTGCCACACGGCCTCCCGTACAGCCTTGTGGGTGCCTGCTGTGGTGGGACACTGGAGCGAGCAGGCAGGGCTTGGTGGGACACTGCACCTGCAATGGTGCCGCTTCACTGCAATGACCTCAGGGTTGCCTTCAGAGGCTGCCAGCTGCAGTGCAGTCTTCTCTTTCCCAGCTCACCTGAACCCCTGTGTCTTTTCCATCAGGACCCCGGGGCAGTGGGAGGGCACGGCACACCCTGAACGTCCCCCATCTTCTGGGATATCCCTGATGCCTCCTCCCCATCTTCCCTGCTTCCTAGTTCAGCCTGGGACTCAGGGTAGCGAGCACATTGCACGCTACCTCCCTGGATCTCACCGTGCTTCCAAAGTTGTCTGGCTGTGGATCGGACTTGGTGGTGGGGGTGGTGAGGAGGAGGTTGGGGGTAAAGTAGGCAATATTTGGTCACTGGCTTAGGAGGGTGCACTGTAAGCAGCAGCCATGTGCCTGACCCCTGCGCAGCGGCGGCTAGAGCTTTCTGCAAGCTGCGAATGGTGATTTCAGGGGATATGTGTCAGGAATGTGGCCTGGGTGGGAAATGCCTTGTATCTGCGTGTGTGTCGCAGGGGTGTGCGCACTAAGAGCCCCTGGCTGCTTGTCAGGGGGATTAACTTGGGTGCAGCTTTGCAGTGCCTTTTACCCATCCTGCAGTTGTTCATAGAGCCTTAATCAAGCACCACGGATGGAGGGAGGCACTCTGTCAGTCAGAAAAGACAGAAAGGTTTCAATTAGCCACTTTTCCTCTCCAACAGCTGCTGGCACAGCATCTACCGGGCCTGACCTGGCTGTGCTGGGCTGTGCCAGCCCCCACGCCCTCCCTGGGGACGGGGCAGAGCAGGGAGTGCCACTGGGACAGTGACAAAGAGGGCAGAGCAGGGCAGTGCTGTTGGGGTCAGTGCCATCGGGGTCAGAGCAGGGCAGCGCCATGGGGTCAGAGCAGGGCAGTGCTATGGGGACAGAGCAGGCATTGCGATGGGGACAGAGCAGGGCAGTGCCGTGGCGACACAGCAAGGCAGTGCCATCGGGGTCAGTGCTGTGGGGACAGAGCTGGCAGTGCCATTGCCATATGCTGCGCGGTAGGACCCACAGCCGGGGGTT